CTAGATGATTGATTTTACTTATTTGATTATTTCCAGTACTGAATTAAGCTGTACTGACCCTTGCAAAATTGTTTTACTAATAAAATAATTAGCATAAAGAAAATCTAAGAGATGTTGTGGACATTCAATTAATGAGTCACCTCAAAGTTCTTTGATGGTTGTAAAATAGCTTTGATGTTTGATTCTGGAGAGGAATCAAACATCAAAGCTATTCAGTCCTGGACAGTGTAAATCCCAACAGACTTAGGAAACTCAATCTGCACTACTTTGCACTGAATATTATTTTATTATTAATATTACTATCACTGTTGTTGATGTTTGATTTTATGGTTGTTTCTGGATTTATCGTCAAAAATAATTTCCCAGGGAACAAAAAAGCCATTTTTATAGGTGTCTAAGAAAAATGCAATGAATGGACATTCATCCTAACAGCAGCCAATCAGAGTGGAAAAAATATTCTTGCTCTGTGCAATTTTCTAGTTGTTAAAAATTACACAAAATGAGCAGGTAAAAGATGTACAACAATGCCAGTTTAAACTTTTAAATATTCGCAAAAAAACTGTGCTCTGGATCATTAAATCATGAATAGAACTTCAACAATATCAATCATAGCTCTTCTTCTCTTCAATGTTTCTGTGAGTTTCTGAGTTTCAAAGTCTAAACTGGTATTGTTGTGCATTTAAGGTGTAAATTACACCTACAATACCTTCGAGCAAACACCCCCAAAAGAATCCCAGCGTCTCCCTGTTGTAAAAATTTCAGCCAGTGGAAAATGGCTGAAATTGAACGCCCCCCAGGTGGCGGTTCTGCCCCCATTGAGAAACGCTGCGTTAGACAGAGAGCTGGGGGGAGAGAGAGGGAGGTGCGCAATAACAATACCTTCCACTAAATGTGCTAATGGTGGAGAAGCAACTTACCATTACAAAAAAAAAAAAAAAACCTGTTTATCTGCAATGATGCTAACTAGCCTTAGCATTCAGTTGGCCAGGCCAGCTGTAGCGTAGTTGAGACCATGGGGGCTGGAAGGAGTAAGCAGTGTTATTGTTATGTTAGCATGGCCACAGATGGTGGTAGACAAACAGTTTTTGTGTAATGGTATGTTGTTTCTCATTTCAATTAGCACAGCTACAGCATGTACATTAGGTTGATTGACAGCGCTAAGATCCTCCTCCTCACTCTGATTGGTTGTTTCTGACTGAGCTGTTCAGAAACAACCAATTTTTTCAAACAAGTTTCCCCGTCAATAGCTTCCCATATTTTATTGGCTTACTTGCAAATGTCAAGTTGAAAAGCTAAGCTGATGACATCATATTTAAAAACACCTGAGGCTGTAATTAATATCAAAGGTGGATCAACAAAGTGTTAAGCAAAGGTTGTGAGTACTTACATAAATATTGTTTCAAGGGTATCTAAACACTCACAAACCTTTCTCCACATTGTCATAGTGGGATATTTGTGTGTATAATCTTTAGGAAAGATATTAATTTAATACTGTTTGGAATAAACAGTATTTCTGCAGATGGCAGTAGGACCACAAAGTAGCGGCAGAGGAGTTTGATATTTTCAGACCATCTGTCTCATATTCTACTGTCCTAACATAGTGAATGTTTTAACAAATATGCAATTTTTTTTCTTAATAAAAGCTACATTCTGCAACTTTGGTTTTGACGCTCTGAACATTAATGGTATCAAAGGTTTTGCTTCATCCTCTGATGCTTGTGGTTGGGATGTGACCAAATGGTGTGAACACTTTCAACAAAGTACTGCATTTAGGACTTCATTGTTTACATCCAGCAGCTCTGTGTGGATAGAAATTCTACTTTTGAGACAGGGAGACATCTTGATTCAACCAGAGCCAAAGCCTGGAGCTCTTTGTTCCTCCACCGGCAGAAGTTGCATTTAAGGAAACTGTTGTCTGGGTGAGGATTGACAGGAGCTGGCTGAGGAAGCTTCTGAAGTCTCTATCTGAGGGCTGGCACATTTCTGGGCTGCTGAGGAGCATTTTAATGTTAGCCAGACTGACACGGCTAGTCCGGGCTGGGCTGGATAAGCACTTTCTCCAATATGAATGCAGATTAATCCCCTTTAATAAGCATCAGTGTTAGGGAGGGGGCTGACGAAGTGTAATCAGCATATAAAATTTCCATCAAATCTAATTCCTGCTGGCTGTGTGCCACGCCAGTGTTGTGATTTACCTCTGGTGTACTGACAGCTTTACTGCACTGAGACAGGACACTCGATACATCAGCTAATTGTCAATAGAAAGAGAGCAGCACTGTAAAACCCCTCGATCACATTCTGATGCATGCTCCAAATATCACCTCTCAGTCTCAGCTTTTGATCTCTGCTGAACTGAACGTTAAATTGTGCTTGCCAGTAAAAGGCTTTTAAAAAAAAAAAAAGAAAAAAAAAAGCCTGCTTCCTCTTTGGCGTTTAAGAAGACTGACTGAAAACCGCACAGTTTTTGCAAAGATTACGCATCTTTCATAATGTGCTGACGTAATGCTTTAGATTAAGTAGACGTCACATTCATATTCATGCATCCTTTGACAAAATTGTTTCTATTTAAGGTTAAGGCGGGAAAGTGAGGCATCCCAAAGTAATCCCCATTTTTGTCATTTGCAGCCACAAATGTCAACATGATTTTATGTAATGACCGGCACAGCATAGTGTAACCCTAATCCTTGCAAAGTGAAAGCAAAAGAATTAATGATTCTCAAACAATTTTACAAAATGAAATCTACAGTGCGGCATTCATCACTTGTATCTGATGTCTCTAAAAAGTTCAGAAATGACTTAGAAGGGGCAGTAATATGTATGTTCCAGGCACATAGTGACATTTTATAGCACAATCATAGTAACTGTTAGCTTCAGTTACTATAAAAATGCTACATATATCAAAAATAACTTAAATGTAATTTGACTTCTCAATTTGATGACTTGAAATTGGGCCTCTGTCTCTTTAAGAAGCTCCTGCTCTTTCTGACACTTTGCCTTTTCAGCACTGTATCACAACGTGATATGCTTCTCATTATGCTGTTAACTTTTCATAGGAACTTTGGACTGAGACAGTTCATATATTGAAATCAGCAGACTCGCAGTTCCACCAGGTGTTTGCTAATTACTGCTGCCACTAGTCTGGAGGAGCTGAGTGGGGAAAGTGGGGGACAGGGGTGGTCTGCAAGGCATAAAATTACAAAGTTACAGTTTTTTTTAATTATGCGTGATATGTATAACATTTCCATAAATTTAAATCAAGCTTTTCTATCTTTTATTACTTCTATTGGCCAGGGTTTTGTGTTTTTAAACATCAAAGTTGTTCAAGATGTCAGTTCAACATCAAAGCTATGTTGTACTGAAGCTAAGATAGCTTTGATTTTGATGATGCTTATCTATATCAAAGTGAAGGTATCATAAGCTTGTGCTTAAATGTATTGGTTTCGTCCCCAGTATTGTGTTTTTTTTCTCCATTTCTGACTTCTTTATGGAAAAGTCGAAAAAAGAGATAGAAAAATAAATAAACAACATAGTTACTTGCTTGTGCTACAAAATGGCATGATGTGTCTGTACAACATACAACACCGCTCCTTTAACATTAGATTTTAACCAAGGAATCTGAGAAGGTCCAACCCAAAGCTATGTGTAAAAGATGTTACAGAAAAAAGAAAAATAAACAAAAGTCGTCCTGAACAAAAGGAAAAGCCAGTTTTCTAAATGAAACTACAGGAATGTAGACAGGTAAAGCACACCATGATTTGATCACTGGAAATAAAACTAAAAGGAACATTTCAGCAGGAGGAGGGAGATGGATAGAATGAAACCGAGCTCGGAAACCAGAACCAGATTGCTATGACAGACGAACAAAAAGAAAAGAAAGAAAAAAGAAAAAAAACGGCTTTAGGCTTGGCAGGGAAATAATTTCGGTATGCAGGGTTAAAAATCATGGCTAATAGCAAAAACTGACTTGTAAATGTTGTTTGGCAGGTTAAACTGTTTCCACCTGTGTGAGGTTTAATTTTTTTTTATTAGCCATGATCAAGAGGGTTGTAGTCTGAGCATGGGAAGTTCAATCGGGTAGGAGGATGACTGCGCTTGGGAGGGGGTTAGGATGAGGGGAGGTGATGGGACAAATGAACAGTACCTGCAGGGGTGAAGGTGAAGGACTGAACTGCAAAACAAGAAGACAGAAAAAGTTGTGTGTTAAAAAAGTCTGCAGAGCAAAGCAGTGCTTTGAGAGGAGGGGATGTGTTTGTGTGCGTGTGTGTGTGTGTGTAGGGGGGAGTGGAGCTGAGATGCACTGCTGCAGCCAGAGAAGCAGGGGCCGCTGAGCAGATGCCACAAATCAAACAGAAAACAAAACACAAAACGTAGCACATGAAGATGAAACAGGAAACATCACTGCTGCAGTTCACGCTTTTCCCCGGAAAAATTTGCAAATGTATTCCCGTAAATGTGCTTTTCTTGAATATCTGATTACAAATAGGGAAAGAAAAAACCCCCCAAAGAGAGTTCATGTCCATTTCCACCTCTGTAAGGAAAGCCACTGCACTTGGCAGAGGAAGCGGACTGGCTTGGGGATATCGACCATGAACATGTAAGGGTCAGTGTGTGGGCGTAGAGCCGGACTATAGCTATGGCTCCAACCACTCCATTCTGGCACCTCGACTCCCCCCTCCCTGGGCTAATAACTCTGTGGGTGGAATTGTCAAAACAAAAAAAAAAAACAGCAGCCTTCCGGAAACGATCCGAGCTGACATCTGTCTCCCCGCGGAGCCGGAACAGAGCATCCATCTTGACGATATTGCTAGCAGCAGCTATGGTATTGACGGATAATGATCTAATGATAAAACATTCTCGCTTTGAAGGAAGAGGAAAAAAAAACAATTAAAAAATGAGCACAGAGAGAGAGAGAGGATTTTTTGCTGAGGCTCCTGATGAGCCAGCCGCTGCTAACCTGCATAGTTGCTCAGACCCTTTCTCTTCTTCCTCCTCCAGTAGAGCCAGATGCTGAAGCCCATGAGGATGACCCAGCAGGCGCCTCCAATGCCAGCGATGAAGGCCGGCTGCTTCACCACGTCCGTTATCTGCTCCGTGATGCTGTTGTTCCGGTTTCCATGTATGATTACGTCCCGGAACTCTTTCCCTGAGGGCACACAAACAAAGCAGATGAGATTAATACGCATATATCAGCACCAAGATGTGAAGGGAAACAGGGGGGGGTAAAAAAAAAATCTACGTATGCTTTAAATCTCTCGCGGGAAACTTCAGTCATCTATGAAGCACTCCGTGACTTTGAAATATTACGTTTGTTCACAGTAGGAAATACACAAAGGATTGTTTGGAACAGAGCTAGAAATAAGCAGGTCTTGATCATTTTTAGCAGAGCTGGAGTATGTAACTTTTGTAAAAATGTTGTTTTCTTACATATTTGTTAAAACTGTCTCCATGTTGTTACAGTACAATATGAGACAGGTTATCTGTGGAACAACTCATGCTCCTCCTCCTCCCTGAACTAGGCAATTGAGCTTGATTTTTTTTTTTTTATACATTAGCTGTTTCATACGTTTTAACAAAAACGTGAAAAACATTTTTTAAGAAAGGGTACATACCCCAACTTCAAATGTGCAGATGTGAACAAACAGAACTACAGAAATACAGAAAGAAAACCAACATTTCACCTTAATCTAAACAAATTCACTGTATTGACGACTCAAGCTCAAAAGCAACAACTACTTTTGCAACATGTTTCATACCATATTATAGTTAATGTCTTCAATCCAGTGACATGGACATATGCTTCTGCTATTCCAGATACAGACCCAGACATAAGAGAATATTTTGGGATTTGTTTCTGGAGAGGCAGTGAAGAAGGTCGGTCATGTGGTTTTTGTGTGGTCATGTGACAGTGATAGTGATGGAGCAAAGGATTGTGGGGAGTCAGAGGTGTGGCCATTTTATTTCAAGTTGTCAAAAAGATGGTGAAGTACATGTAATATTGGTAAATATTGGTTTTTGGTCAAAAGAGCAATATTAATATCAGATATTGATATTGACCAAAAATGTTCATATCGATGAAGTCCTATCTTGTCTGTTAACCAATCTAAGGTTTTATATCTTACTAGCAGACATAAGCACATCGTCTTCACCTTTAAACAACGGTATTGGCTGCATCATGCTCTGGGAATACTTTTCTTCTGCACCTCTAAAGGATCAGAGTTTATTCAGGACATTTAAAGAGGCTTTTTGAGTATATTTGTACTATTCATGTGTTCTGAAATTGCCCCTCTGCGACAAATAAAGTCGTCTGAGTAGAATCAAAAATTGTGCAAGTTTTCCAAGACATTCTAGTCTTGCTGTGCTTCGTCTAAGGTTTTGTCAGGTTTTGTTAAGCTGCAGAGGAGGATACTGACCGTCAAAGCTGATTAAAGAGCAAAAAAGGATGTGAGATGAAACACAATGATAAGACTGGAAAAGACAAAGTCTAGCAGCTCACAGCAAAGCCCCAGGTGATCAGGCTGTTTGCTTTGTTCAGCCTCTAATTCACTCCACCGCCACTGCAACACACCACATGAAATAAGAGCAGAGCGCCACGGTCTCTATTGATCCCCAATCCCACGTCAACTCCCGCTAGCCGGCTTGACAAATATTTCTAGCAGCGAGGCACAACCAGAATCACAAAGCACCTCACTGTAACACCGCTAACTTCTCACTGTAACAAACACGTGGATTATTCACAAACACTGCGACATGCCGAAAAGACGCTGATCCACATTGTTCTGCCAAAGCCGTCTGAGCGCAGGCACCTCTGAAGACAAGCAAACGAAAAAGAAAAAAAAAAAAAAAACTATATTATGAGTGCAAGCTCAGTGTTCTGCTCTCAGAGATGGATTATGTGAGTGACACTGGGGAAATAAGAACACGCTGCAGGCCAAGTCATCAGTTATGGGTCAAATCAGAGAAAATCTGCCAGAGCTCCACATAAATCACAGTCAGAGTGCCTTTCCAAACAACACCGTTTCAACAATATCATCTGTTTGGTTGCTTTCTCCCCGCTCCCTCCAGCATCACTCTCTCTTAAAAAGTGGACGCCAAAAGGCTGCGACAGATTTCTATCAATTTATCTCACCGATGATTATAGACTGAGGTTCACTCTTCACTCCCACTCCTGCACTGGTGCTGGCAGCAACCTCCACGTGATACACCACGCCCACCTGCAGCCCTCCCACCACCACGGAGCGGATGGCTGCGTCCACCGTCTTGTTCACGTGGAAACGTGTCTCGTTCCCCAGACACCAGATCTGAGAAGAAAAAAAAGAAAAAGTTGATTTTAATGTAGTCATGTAGAGGTGCGGTGGGAATGGATGGCGGTTGCTTCCTGAAACGGACCTTGTACTCCTGGATAATGCCGTTCTGGTGGTCGTGCGGAGGGGGGTCCCAGGAGATGCTGATGGAGGTGCTGTTCTGGTTTCCCACTGTCAGGACGGTTACCTGCTGAGGGGGGGCGCTGGGAGCTGAAAGAGAATTAGGAGCAATGGTCAGACGCAGTATGGCCCGGCTCTAAAACGGTTTCTCAATAGTCAGCGATGGGAAATGGAAAATATACAGAGACTCTCTAATGTTTACAGACATCACACACATAAGCTTTAATCTACTTACTGGAACTTTACAAAACAGACTGACACAATGCTGTTAACACCAATCTGTTTTACTCAATGAGAAGCTTAAAGCTGTGGTATGTAACTTTTATAAACAATCTGTTTTTATTTTTTTTCCCCCATATTTCGAAAAACTGTCACTAAGTTGTGACTGTATGCGACAGATAATCTGTGAAAAAATCAAGCTCCTCTGCTTCCTCTCTGTGCTCCTACAGAAATAATCAGTTTTTGGTCAGAAATAACCAATCAGAGCCAGGAGGAGGGCCTTACTGCTGGAAATCATCCTTGCTAAATGTGCTGATGGCTTAGGAACAACTTAACATTGCAGGAAAACCGTTCATCAGCCGTCATGCTAACTATCCTGAACATTAACGTCAGGAAAGAGCTGCAGCATAGCAGAGAGCTAGGGCTAAACCCCTCCTCCTGGCTCTGATTAGTTGTTTCTAACTGAGCGGTGAATTTTTGCAGATAGCAGTAGGACCACAGGCAGAGGAGCTCATTGTTTTACCACAGACTGTCTATCTCATATTATCTAAAAGTTACCCATTACAACCTTAGGGCTTATGATGTAATAAAACTTTACACTTCTTCATCCTTAACCTGTCTTCTGTGTCCTTTGGTCTTCCTTGTTTGGTTTGTTCACTAATGTTCTCTAACAAACCTATATAAATATTTTCTAATTAAGTGACTTCCAAAGTCAAATATTTGCCATCCATCCACCTCCCGTTTCATCTGGGACCGATTTGTGGCGCAGCAGACTATCCAGACTTCTTTCTCCCCAGCCAGTTGGGTCAATTTGGTAAGACATTAAAATTTTGAGGTTTTAGTACCTTTGATGGGTATTCTATTCTTCCGTAAGAGTCCCTGAAATTGAACCATAAGAGAAAAGGGGGGAAAAAAAAAACAATGACAACACCAGTAGCCATGCCTTTGAAAAAGAATAGTATTTTGTAGGGAAGGCACAGTTGACTGCGGGTTTGTAAGGATAAGATCAGGTCAGATCCGACATGGCTGTCAGCTGTCTTTAACATTTCACTGTGATTTCATATATCAGTCTCTGCTCTGCTCTGGTGGATTTGCACAGAGGATACTGGTATTGATTTGTGCAATGATGGCCTGGCAGAGTCAGGCGAGACTTCTCAGTCATGCTAAGACTCTGTCGTTGACTGGTTTGGCACAAGGGTCAATAGGCTTATTGGGATGAAGAACAGACGCCAAACAAATATGAAAACGCAAAAAAAAAGGCATTTAATAGGTGGGAAACAATGTCTCAGTAAACACATCGACAGACTCTCATCGATCAGGCGGATGAAACTAAAGTCAGTAGGTAGGGACGGGGGAGGTACCCGGGAATGCATCAGCTTTCCCGCAGGCAGACAGGTGGAGAGGATGGAAACAAGAACAGCCCGGGCTTTCATAAACCTCCATTGTTATTCTGACGGCAACAATCTTCTGACCCCACAAAGCATGAGAAGGAAAAAAAATAAATAACAGTTGGCCCAACTGGAAAAAACGCTTTAAAAATAATGTTTTCTCATTTCCGCAGTGGCTGGCCGGTTGCAGGGTGGGGAAGGATTGGCGTGGCGGAATACTGACAGGTCAATTACTCCTGGTGCTGCCTCTCCCTCACCTCACCTCCATCCAAAATGGCATGTGTAACCCCGTAAATCTATGCTCATCCCTCAGCGCAATTGGCCACACGGGCCCCAGGAGAGCCAGGAGGCCCTGGCACGGTGGAAGATGAATGGTTCTAATGATGAACTCAACACCTTGGCCAGATTAGAAACAATCTACCGAGCGAGCATCTGATTGAGCGAACGCGCCCGGTGCTGTGCCAATAAGCCACTGTGTCGCGATCAGGTGATGAAGTGCCTGGCTTCTCCGCGGAAGCCATCAGAGGCAATGTCGTTCAAAGTTAATGTTATGAATGATTTAGCAGCTGATTATCATGCATATTTGTGCTAAACAATACACATTTTTCATTAGAGGCCTTGGAGGCTGTGCTAATAGGGCCATTAGTGGAGTGATGTATGGCAGGCAGGAATGTGACCCCCCTGTCTCGCATGTGCTCACCATGCTGTGCTGAATGATGGGAGGAAGACAAACAGAGCTGATCATTACTAAAAAGTAGCCAATGGTTAATGACAAGGCGTGGGCAGTGTGGCATCTCCCTAGAGAGCGACGTGGAAAATTAGCCGACAAATGAACATTTAGGTGACGACAAATAATTTTCCTTTCTTCCTGAATAAGGACTGTTGTTGCCTAAAGTGTACTCCACCTCATGTATACTTTCAGGTGTAATGAGACGGGAGCCAGAATCAATTTATCAGCCTAGGTACACAGACCACTGCAAAGGCATTTGTTTAACATTTCACATTTTTTCACATTATAACCACAAACCTAAAATGATTTAACTGGGATTTTGTAGCCTAACAATCTAAGGTCTTCAAATATTCTTTATGAAAATTGGAAAAGTGTGATGTGCATTTTTATTTAGTTCCTTTTACTCTGACAAACTTTAATAAAATCAAAGTTTGTCAGAGCCCACTTCTTTGGAATTTCACTTTAACTGCTTTTACATCTTTAAGTGTTTTACGTGATGTCTCAACTAAGTTTGTTGCCCATTCTTCTTTCCATTATATCCTTAACTCACTAAGAACATTTTTTATCTTTATAACATCTCATAATGTTATTCCATCATTGCTGGTTGCTTTGATTCTTTCTTTCATGTTTGAAGAATCCTTGAATCTCCCATAACAACCATTCAGAGGGGGCATAAACACTTCCTCTCACACAGCTACACCTATTTCCACAAAGCTCCTCCCTGTAGCCTACCTCTTCCCCACGCCTCTTCCCATCTGCTCCTCCAGACTAGCGGCAGCAGTCTTTAAACACCTGGTGAACTGTGAGTCTGCTGAGCTCATCATACAAACTACTTCTCAGACCAATGCGCCTGAGAATGGTTGTAAACAGCATCATGAGATGTTGTGATGATATGCTAAAAGCGGCGCTTCTTAAAGAAACAGAGGTCCAATTTTAAGGCATCAAAATGCAAAGTCAAATTTCTTCCAAGTCATGAAGGTGCTGAAGGTAACAGTAACTTGACTGAGCTATAAAATGGGACTGGAAAATACAGTCCCAGGACAAACACATCACAGAAGTGTTTGTCATGCTGGGATGACAAACACTTCTGTGATGTGTTCTTGTTAACTAATGTTCTCCAGACCATTAAGGCCTTCAAAAAAAGGCGTTTTTATACTGAAAACCAATTTCACACACCTAACTATTAGGTGACATCTGGTTACTTCAGATGTCACCTAATAGATAGGTGTGTGAAAACACCGAGGTCTGTGGTACCAATGTATAAGAACTGTAAATGCTATTAATAATTTTTCAAGACCGTGTAAATATTTATATGGAGAATGAGGTTCAATGGTTAAAGGGAATAGTTTCAGTTGCCCTAACCTTCTCATGGAGTTCTCTAATTGTGTTAGCTAATGGATACCCTAAGTTTTAATCACCTCTTGAACTCGATTTTTTTCCTGGCCCCCATTAGTCATCCAAGGCAGCCTGAATAGCCCAGAGCAAAGTGTCTGACAGTGTATTAGTTATGAAAAGAAACAGAAGCTGCATTATGACAGAAATGGAAAACGGCTGGAATTCTGGAAAACCGGACTATGAACAGAGGACAGGAAAGGGGGATACCATCAGCACAGGTAATAGCTGGGACATGTAGCCTCTGAGGTCTACAGGAGATAGGTCTGCTGGCATGTGTGAGTGTGTGTGTGTGTGTGTGTGTGTGTGTGTGTGTCTGTGTGTGTGTGTGTCTGTGTGTGTACGCGTGTGCGCGCGTGTGTGTGCGTTTTGGGGACAGCTGGGATGTGGTGGCAGTTCCACTCCTGTGGCCAGTCAGTGTGAGCAGTGCATACACACGCTGGTCACAGGAGATACGGTCCCCTTGAGGAAAGGGAAATAAATGAGCTTGTCAACACAACAGGATGTGAACTGTCTCCCAACACATGCAGGCCTGTATATGCTTTGTTAAGATAGGCTTCACCTCCACATCGAAGCGCTTGTATCTTTCTTTTTGTGGTTTTGAGAGGATGTGTTATATAAGTCTTCAACCATATAAGCTAACTCAAGTCATTAAACTCAAAGGCTGCCATGGTATTGATGCACGCAGTTTTCTTCCCTGCAAAGGTCAAAATAGTAAATTCATTCAAACAAAGGCCCTCGTGTCCTCGTGAGTGATTTTTACCACGCTGCGCTATGGCCTTGTCAGAGTCTCTATAAATTAAGCTCTGGGTGACAGCTCATCTTTACAGGAGTTGTGTAAAGTTTCCAATCACAGTGTAGGTGTGTGGTTACTGTGCAATGGATTACGGGAAGTTTGGCAGCAGCACTGCCAAACATGAGTCAACAATATAAAAAGAGATATACATTACAAAGATATACATTGAAATGATGATAAAAAAAAAAACAAAACAGAAGAACACACTCAACTAGCCTAGAGGCTAATCTCCATAAACTCAATTTGTTTGAGTCTCACCCTCCTCAGTGGTCCGCGCCGTCTTCGATTCGCTGTCCATGCCTTGAAACTCGTTGAAGTACGGCCGGACCTTGATCTCATAAACGATGCCCTTCTTCAGCGATGACAGGACGACGCTGCGCTCCGAGGGCACCTTCACGTCCTGGGTCTGCCACGCCCCTGGCGAAGGAAGCCCAGACGTCTGCCTATATAGAACCCGGTAACCCTGGATGAACTGGGACTGGCGGTCCACCTGGGGAAGCAATAAAGTCAAGGTTATGGTTGGGAAGAAAGCACGTGAAAGTGACTAAGTGGTGTTTTCCTGCAGCATGCTTTACAAGGCTGCATGCATGCCACTTTAGGAGCTGTTACTTATTTAATGGGGCTTTTATCACCAGCCATGCAACACTCTGCTCAATTATAACCACCCTGACACTAGCTCAAGCTAACAACTCCACCTTAAAGGATGGAACGTATGTCCCGTACCTACAATAAATAAAACCTGGTGACACCTTAAAGCACGTCTCACAACTATAAGAACGTCATGCGGCCACAAATGCATGTTCCCATGGGAACACACAGCAGAGGTGTCTTTAGCAGACATTTTCCCCTTAAAAAAAAAAAAAAAAAAGACCTAAGACGAGATCTCTGTGATGGAAAAAAGCCCCAAACAGGGCTTTCCTTTAAAATTTGGGCCACTTAGTTAAACAGAAAGAAAAAAAAAAGCTGAATTTATGCAGAGGAGGAGCCAGCACATAACTCACTGTAATGGCTTGTTAACAGTAGAGGAAGTCAGTGCTGCTTTCAAGTGGGATATTAAGCAGCTGTTTTTCACCAGCACAGACTGAGTAAATCAGCACAATGGATCTCAACCCCCCAACTCCCACCCACAACCTTGTTGGTGTTGGACTCTTATTAATGGGATGATTTGGAAATATAAAAAGCGGAAATCTCTGCTTACTGAAAAAAAAAGGACTCCTGATTGATTTAGGCCACCACGGTTTGGTGTTAGCTTCACGTTACAATCATAAAGCAAAAGGGTTTAGCATTAAATTAGCAGCTAGTTCTGGAGGAGGGAAATGGAGTGGGGGGAGGCTTACTGCAGGGGTCAATAAACATGTCAGCGGGAAAACTGCTCATGTTGTTCGTTTAAAAATGCTAACCGCCACCCCATCTGCTAAGTGATGTGAGGTAAATACCTGCAACTGAGTGATTTATGGCGCCGTGCTCAACATAAACGAATGAACACCTCAGCCTCTAAGAATCCGAGCGACATTTATGTCCTCATTACCAAGCAATTAAAATAGAAAAACCGCTCGCATCCAGGCAGGAGATGCTTCCTTTTTCTTTTTCATTCCCTCAAACCCACATAGCACAGACAGACCTTGCATATAGGAAGATAAACGCATTACCTCTGCAGCAAAACCACATTTCGCAACCATTAGCAATATTTTAATTTATCAGGGCAGACTTTGTTTTAGGGAGGAAAGATGGAGGACTGATGAACATCCAGGTGTCTCTGACATTTCCTTTGATTCTGGTTGTCGTTAAAGAAACCATTTCTGCAGCCATTTGATGTTTGGTTACTTTAAAGTCGCCAATTACAATATTTCAAAAGCTGTAGTCAGGAGGGAACGGGCTGACAAAAAAAAAAAAAAAAAAAAAAAAAATCCCCACAACATAAAGCAAATGGTCGCCTGCAGGAGAAGCTTCAAAGATGGATTTTTAATGTCAACTATCTTGGTTTTATGACAGGCGTCTGCAGAACTAAAGATGGAGAAACAATAAAAGGGAGATAAGGAAACCGTCGACACACATTTTAAAGTACCGGGGAAAGCTTCAGAATAAATCCAACTTTTACTCCAGAACCACAATATCTGACTGAAAAAATGAGAAAATCAACATTTCATCTCAGGACATTAAGTAAACAGAAGAGAAAGGTTGTCCCTGTAAAGAAAAAATGAAGCAATTCTGAAATTTATACTTTTGAGTTGCACAAAGTGATCAAGTATAAATATAACGTCACACAGGTCCGTTTCTCTAAGTGACACTTCAAAAGAGGGAAGACAAGAAAGAGCACATGTGAAATGGATAAAATACATGTGAATGAGACATTTCTTTTCATTATACTTTAATTTGCTTGTACTTTTTCATAATTTCTACTTATTAACTGATTGCTCTAATTTCTTTAGATGTAAATATAATTTTTAACAAGACCAAGTCACCAATTGGTGATATAAGATCTAAGTCTTACAAGACTTAGATCTTGTAAGACTAAGTCTTATCACCAATTGGTGACTTGGTCTTGTTAAAAATTATCAAGATAATTATAAGATCATTATCTTATAATGATCTTATAAGATCTGCTGATTGCATCTTGGCGACATCACAAAAGAGAATAACTAAAAAAAAATACACAAGCATTTATCATATTACATATAGTATATTGCTTGATAAACTCCATCTCTTTCTCTTTCATTTCTTAAAAAATGTGCTTTGGTCAAGTAAAACTAAAATTTAATTTCTGTAACAATTTCTGCGGTTTTGACATGAAACAAACTTATATCCATATCCACTGTTAAGTACCGTGGAGGTTCTGTGATGTTGTGGGCCTCTTTCTCTTGCAAATGGCTTGGGAACCTTTCACCTCCCATACCAAAAGCTTTTCCTTGTCTTAACTTTCACTTACTTTAGCAGAAGCTAAGCTAACTCCTCCCACTGCAGCAGTAGCTAATGTAATTATGAAAATAAATTTGGTAAATGGAAACACGGAAATTAAAAAAATAAAATAACTCGGATTAACACTATGTAACTCTATCATGACTTCATATTCAGAAGCAATGGAAGAAAAAAAAAACTAGTTTTAATGTTTTAAACATGTTTTTCCACTAAAAAATATACTTAAAAAATTTGAGTTTTACAATTGTTCAGTCATAAAAAATATCTACGTAAATAACAGTTGGATTTTTTGAGGCCTTTCACAGTAATCTCATTATTTTTTCACATATAGTGTCTCATGTTTAAACATTTAAACATGTTGCAGGTCAGAAAAGCAAAACAGCAATCGGATTTAGTCATCAGTCACTTACTGTCCATGTGACCTGAATGGTGGTGGGACCCAGGACAACAGGATTATGCAGGCGAACTATGACCTCTCCGAGCTCTTTCTGCACATGCCTGTGGTCCACTCCCTGGGCTGGAGGGCTTATATCTAGAAAAAAAATTGAAATATATAAAAAAAAATGAGAGCAGAAAAGGGAGAAAAATGAAGCCGCTTTCTATCACTACAGAGAAAAAAATTGGGTTTGAAATGTTTATCTGGGACTTTTCTGCACGTCCTCTGGTCTGACTGAGCAACCGCAGTGGCGAATGAACTCAGAATTTGTGACCCTCGGACACATTAGATGGAAGATTAATGGACACTATGACACACTTTTCCAGCTCTTTCCTTCCCCCACATGTGTTTTATGTTAAAAGAAATAAAAATTTTACTATATGAGATCATGAAAATGGTAAAAAAAAAAAAAAAAAAAAAAAAAAAGCGACCCGCTGTGTGAGTTATATACCGACACACAGAGGAAAACTCTCACAGGAGGAAATTGTATTTTAAAATGAAAAAAGAAAAAAAGACAGCGCGACACAGTCCTGAACCTCCGCCCACCCGGATAGAAAGAGTTCACAGAAGACAAGTTGTCACATATCACCTTTAAAGTATTAGGCTATTTGCTGAAAATCAGATTTACGATTTAGTTTTTTTTTTTTTTGCATTTATTTGACAGAGTGTGGATAAAGACTGCTTTTATTATATTTTCCAGTTTTTATTTTTTTCTTCTAAATGGAAACTTTTTCTACACACCGAAGACTGTGGTCTGCTTAGGACGTAATCAAATCCTCTCTGGCTTTGGAGATGGTCATTTTCCACCGCTATAAAGATTATCAAAGCGTGGAAGGAGATAATGCTGTTAGGCCTTCCAAAAGTAGACATGCTTATTTTACATAATTGCTTAAGTGTAGCCTTAATGAGCTGAGCTCAGCTGAAGAATCTGACCTCTGGAACTTTCTGCAATGCTTCAGTGCGGCTATCTGCCGCAAAGTTGCTGAGAGAGGATGACTAGGATGGCTTTTTAGAAAGAGACAGAGGCCACAGCGTGTAATAAAATAGAAGTTATACTCATAAAAATGAGAGAAAAAAAAACACATAAAAAAGTGACTATTACAGTATTCAGTGAATAAAGACTTATTATTTTATGCTAATGTGGAATACCTTGAGTTCTAACAGGTTCAGACATTGGGCTCGGATCACTTAAGCCTTGGCCGTTGACGGCTCGGACCATGAACAGGTAGATGGTGTTGGGACGGAGACCTTTGACGGTGAACTGGGTGGTCTTGACATGGTCCGCCACGGTTTGCCAGCTGTTGCTCACAGACTGACTGTAAGAGAAGAGAAAAGATGCATTCACACCGTTTTTCAGTCCAGTTTCCTTATGATACTCCAGATCTGTAAATGCGACACTAAACCCAAGAAAGACTGAAACTCCTCACATGCTCCAAGCAGACTCAGTGTTGGCTCAAAGCAGATGTTTGCTGGACAAAAGAACATTTTTACGATCACATGCTTACTCAGTGTCGCACAGCAAACTGGAAGCAGTGTTAACATCGTAG